CTATTAACACATAAGCTGGTAAATGACTCAGAAATCTAAAATTTAGTTGACTCTTTGGTATGTTTCAAATAAACTGGAAACCTAAAAACTTCATTCATTTCCGGTACATATGTACGGCACAAGAAGGGAATATATATTAAATAAATAAATTGACAATTCATATCTTATTTATTCAAAAGTTGAGGCTGATCACATATCAGCTACCGAATTGCTAAAGAACCACTAAGTCGACAAGTAGACACGGATAGATCACAGCTATTATTAAGGATGAATATTGCATGACGCGGAGTGGAAAATCGGAGCATTTCATGAATTTGGAAAATCATCAGACCTTCCTATTGAGCCGGTTTTTATTACCTTTCCAATATTAGCTGATCCTCATTACCTGTTCTACTGCATGGAGATTAATTAATTACTTAGTACCTCAAAAACTGTTAATATCCTTGCTTCGGTTCTAAGCTTTCGCCATCCACGTTGTCATATGTCTGCGGTGCGAATAGAACAAAGTCTACAAGAGACCGGAAGTGTACTGTAATATAAGTACTTCGACAAGAGGTTATCGATCGGTCATTAAAAACAAATATGAAAATATGATAATAATCTGTGACACTCCTTTCAGACTTCATTTCATGCATTCATTTAGTTTAACAGCGTTGTACACATGAACATACCGTATCTCTGTACCTTTAGGCCTAATTATATACTGGTCAGAAATCTTCCTACGGATATCCCCTTTTACGTCGATATTGTTCCTTCCTGGTCATGCGCACTAGTTATCAATCGGCTTCCAGCTGTTGGCCGATTCTTCCTGATGGTCTTTTCGTTAAAAAAACACATGATTCGCGGGATATTATCACTAGTAAGTTATTGAACGAGACCTTATAAATTACTAGCTGTCGCACCTTTCCTAGTCTTGGTGACGAAGTCCTACTTCCGGTCGTAATGACACCGTCAAACCCTAGTCTGATTGAGTTCAGAGTGGCAACAGCGCTGCCACGTGTAGGCCAGATCGATATTTGAGACCGTCACAAATCAGAGTACTTCATGATGACAGTCAACAAAGTTCATTCTCAGTAGCGTGCATATAGCAGCACGACAAGGATTAATGGTTTTCAGCAAGAATACAACAGTCTTGATGAGCAGTCAGCGGCCTAGACGAGGTAACAATTTAGACGGTCGTTCAGACAGCTATCTTGAATAAAATAATTTTTAACGCTCCAGAGAAAGACAGAGAACCAACAAGATGAAGGCAGGTCAAAGAATTAGGAAGGAACCATCTAATGGAATTATAACAATAGGAATTTCCTAATGGTACGAATGTCAGCGGATCAATAACTAAGGAACACGCATGACTAAAAGACATCACTATGACTTTTGGTAATTTTAAAATACAACTTACCGGACAGAACTATTTTTTTTATTTTCCTCAGAGCCAGTTGCACTTCTTGCATCGAGAGAGCGGGTGGAAAACTTGCTCGGTTGCCGTTCAGAAGTCACGCAGTTACAACTGACATAAAGTCTGTTGACGGCGGGCACAGCCGCAAAAGTGAGGCAAGTAGCGACACGCTTTGAGGCATCTGACGAAAATGCTTTTTTGCCAGCAGTTTTGCTTCAGTTCAGCTGTTCTCGAACTCATTCTATCGATTGAGGGGTGGAACTAGCTGAACGCATGCTTTCGTTTACATGTCTGTCTGGATGCAATTTTCGGTCAGATGTCAAAGGTATGCTGTCGGCCCGCTAAGGAATCTTTCATTCGACATGTCACTGATATGAATGCCTCACGAACCAAAGTCAATGCTGGTCCGAACTTCTCGGTACTCTGCTTTCTGTCTAGTCCAACGGTCACGTGATTTGACCATCTAAGCTAATCACGACTTCTGCTTAACTGTGTTTCAAAGTGCTTGAATAGCATTAGATCGTTCCTTTGAACAACATCTTGAATCTTGTTGATCTACAGACCGTAGTGAAGCCTGCATTATTCATTGAACAGACAAATGAATGGCATATCAATCATGACTAAATTGAGTTTCAGACTTATACTGCCATATTAAGTCTTTAATTTCAAAAGAATTTAAAGAATCAGAAAACTAGAAATTATTGCTAATAGTGTCAGCCATGAAACTCAGGATGCTTAATGCTAAGTACAGTTTCCTGGAAATTGTCCTGTAAGTTAGTTGATGTCCTCGGCTCCACCCAACCCAGCAAAGCGGACAGAGTCAAAAGAACGGGACCGTATGAAAGCATTAAGCGGACGGAATTTATCCTGAATAATTGCGATCACCATTGTGATCATTCATAGGCGCTGGAACGATAGGTTAACATAGCAACAATATAAGGGCTGAACAGAACTCAGAAATCCTTATGCCTTGACTTTTATAGCAGCTTTGTCTAAACGGTCACAATTTGTGCACAAATGCAAATGCCTGCTACCATCCATACTATTTTGATTGAAAAAAATGATTACGGCAACAATTTCACGAAATCGAAAGCAGAATATTGCACCATGCTGTGTACACTTTAAAATGAGGGCAATGACTGATGATGATCTGGCTGACTGATCCAGAGGCGTCACTAACAGAACATGTCATCAGTCATCTACGTCACGGCGTATTACCTATCAACCGTAAGGGCATCAACGTAACTTTACGGGGAGAAAATCTTCTCCATTTCACGCAGTCTTCTGCTATAAGACAGGTGGTTAATATTCCTTCCAGTATAATTTGCTTATCTCCGTCATTGCAGCAAATCATTCACCATTCTTCCTTTGGTGGTGCCTTGCAAGATTTCCACGAGGCTACTAGACCGCGAGACATACGCCAGAAATCCTATATTTTCAGCATTTAACATGGAAGTGAGGGGAAATTATTTTTTTCAAATCAGCTGTCATCTCGTCTTAGAAATTTAAAAAAATAAAGTTTTACCTTATTGGTACTACCACAAAAAATGACAAACTGGAGCAGTTTCACAGCGGCATTTCAAATGACAGCCATTTATTACCAGTGCATATATACTTTACTGATCGATCCGTATAATCGATTATCACCGTGCTTATCGTTGGCCATAAACATCGGTGTCATGTGTATGGCCCATGAGCCACTGACATCTATCTGACCCCAAGATAGTCATCGACGAGGCTGGTGTCGTTTGCAATAACCATTCATAAGCGTTAAGTGGCGAGCAGTAAAATTCATTACCGTTTCGGAACGTTACCTCAGCACTAGCCGGAACTCAAACTAAAGATTGTTTATCAAGCATAGATTAACAGTTGTACACAATCTGTCAACTGCGCCGTTGCCAGACATGCCAGCAACTTGGAAAATACGACGCGTGATTGCAGAAGATTTAAAAATAGCCCATCGCCCACCATAGCTTCCGCACTAACGTGACGAACAAACCGATAAAATGCAAAGCGTCGCGCTCGTCATTGTATACTCTACAAACCTTGCTTGTTTGTTGTTTAATTTTCGCATTCGCTTTTAATATGTACCAAAATAAAATATATTCTTTAATGATCTTAGCTCAATATTAGCTGAACAGCTTGCAAACAAGCAAATCGTGAAAAATCGATTACAACTAAAAAACAAACATTAAACATATTTTTCAGAATATAAAAGTACGATTTAGCGACAGTATAGAGATTTGAAGTTTGATGTTCATTCGTACAAGCGAACAGACATAGAAAGCATAGAAAGTCAGTCATAGAAATTCGCTTGAACATTACATGTGTGTAGCGACAAACCGACAAGTCTGGGAAACTTGAAACAAGTCCAGCTACCGTTCTGCATATATTCAATCACCAACCAAAACGAAAACATTTTACGGCCATACGGACATCAATATTAAGAGCTTGTTCATATCAGCAGAAACTGTTGCCGCGTCTTTCAAGACAACGGTTGCTTGAGGGCAGATCTCCACCTCTTTGTCTCAATCCTTCGCCGGTCAGCAGCCGCTTTGCTAAAAATTTCACAAAATCACTTTAGTGGGCGAAGATACGCATGCGCCATGGTTACCGCGCCTTTATGATCTTCATATCTTCTTCGGAAAGTCCTTTCGGCCTTGTTTCCTTCTCGCATTCACGAATGCTAAAACGTAGCTTGTCCAAACAGTCAGCCAGATTCAAATGTTGTGAGCGAGTCCTTTCGCTGGTTATAGTAAGATGTCCGCTTTTGCTGATCTTATGTTCGTACTAATACATAATCCATTAAAAGAAACACACTTAGAAAATAACTAGGTTACACACACTAATTTATCAGATCACAAGTGCCACTATATTTTACACTGAGTTAGTGGAGAACTGATGGAGGTCATTACCCTGGGGTATAAGGCAACGATGCACCTCGTCCGTGCTTCTAGACGCCTACGGGAAACAATTGGGCTGACCAATGCTGCATGGTATTTCAGCAACTGCAAAGCGTCCTGGGATGCATCAACCTCGCCTCGAGTTGAATCACACCAACTCGTGGCTGGAGCTGGAGCAAAATGAAAGCTTGACTTTCAGATATGCTACTTTTTTAATCAAATGGATTAAGATCATCTGCTGAGTCAAAGTCAGATCCACAAGTTACAGAGACGGAAGAACCTTGAGATATGATGAATACGTGTGACACTGGAAGAAAATTTTAGGAATACACAGCTATGGAAAACGCATACAGACTGTTACCAAGGAGTAGCAACTTAATCAATGATGAAGCTAAGGCTGAGGTGAGAGTGTAACAAACAAAAACTGAAAAATCTGATGAACTTGTGAAACGGTGGCCTCCGCCATTAAAATCTGCTGCTGAAACTCGAAAAACTTTCAAACAACACCCTGTAGAAAACGAGGATTTCCAGTGTTGCATTGCTTATGCAGAACACTCACCGACAGATTCTGAAATATTGACAGATGTCCAATTTAAACCTAAAACAGAGTCCGGCTATTTGTTAACTACCCAAAGTTTAGAGGGCCAGCGATGGCAGGTGAGTTTATAACTTTCCATTCGTTTTAGTGATATTATTTAGCTGTCTTTTGCCAAGTTTTCTGTAGTTCTGGAGAACGTAAGGTTTACCTTATGTAATCAAAAGTTCAATTTTAAGCTTTCATAAAGGTACTTCGAGATCCATGGGAGCAGGTAGTAGAGATAATAAAATAGAGTGTAACAGCAAATCGCTTAATGGACATAGTACATAAGCCTCTGGGAGAGAAGGACACCACATCACCGATTTGTAAACAGTTTTACGACCAATTAACCATTCGTTTAATAAATTTGAGTTCTATAAAAATTATGTCTACAAACTATAATCATAAAACCACTTTAAAACTCGAAAATTGAGTATCTAGTTTGTACCCTGATAGCCGGTACTAAAACAGCCCAAAACACGGCTTACATACAATGCAAATAATCTGGTCAATCATATGATTGACACGTTTCTGTAACGCGTCTCATGGGGAAAAGATAAGCCCTGTCTTCAGACAACTACACAATCGGCAGCATGGATCAAAAGCTCGCTTTCTAGATCAGAGAGTAGCAACTCTGGCGATATCCAGAAGGATTTCTGAATCTGAATTACCTGCTTGCCTTGAAGAATGCCCATGAATTACGGATCAAAGCATCAGCACTGGGCAATCATCACATTAACGAGATTATTTGAGCTATGAATAGATGAACAGTGTTTTATGTTATTTCACTTAAAGTAGCGGCGTTAGTTTAATGACTTGTGAACGTACTGATGGGCTACTTCGGTATCTGTCTGAAATGACACTGGCTTGACACGGTTTGTATGCTCTTCAAAAACTTACTCTTAAATAAAAAATAATCAAGTTTGAACTACTGTATGAAAAATTTAAATTTAAAACGTCCATATCTTTTCATAGACTGAGAATTCCGATTCTGAATAACCGAAGACTACAATACATTAAAGCAGATTCAGTCAATAGAATCATTTCACACTTTTTACTGTAAAGAACTTGGCTACCTTTTTCATAAATTGAACTTTTACATTTTCTGGAATCCACGAGGCGGAAGCAACATGAAATCGAACCTCGGCTTTTGAATCGGCTAAAAACAAAATTTTATAATGGAATTACGAGTGATATCGGCTAACAGCTTTCCTCTTTCCAATGATATGGCAGTCACTGGTTTCTCAAAATCATATACTTTTGCCTTAAATACATGGTAAGGAACGGAAGGAAGCCATTTCTTGTCAAGACAGCAAAATCAGCATCTTAATTCGACCAACCACATCCAGAGCACAGCTGACCTGGCAAATACCCGCTATCTGTTGAAGTTTCTCAGCAAAAACAACTAACTAGCTGGACGTGCACGACCCGAAAAACTACCAAAAGCTGCGCACATTATTTATCTTGATGAAAGCCACTCATGACCAGACTGAAATATTAGTGTTTGTTTATCACCCGATAGAACTGGTATAAATAAATCAATTTTGGTTGTTTTCCCTTTTTCTTAAGGTGGAATCTGATTTCAGTCTTACCAGCAAATATCTCAACTGCTCTTTGATCTAAAAACAGGCCAGGTATGCGCAAAACTTAGCACCTTACTACTGGCTAGTCAACACTATACACAGAGACAATGACTTATGTAAATTATCATGGAAGGGTTATGATAAAATCTCGAATTATATAATTTTACTCAACGCGCCTAGGTTACTGGCACGCCAACTGAGAGCAGTCTTCCACATAAAGCGTATTAAAATACTAACTTGTTGAACAACTGAAATTGTAAGTTGAAGCACATGATATCGACTAAATGATTGAGTTACATGGGGATGAATTATCAAAACAAGAAATACTAAATGAATTAGAAGCAAGAAAAGTAGCTGAAGGTTAAGCTTCGGAACTAGACGTGGAACCGAAATGTTTCGTGGCAAAAGATATTACAAACGTAACTCCGCCATTGCCGGTCCCAAGCCCGGATGAGAAAGGAGGAGGGTTGGACACCGTGCAAATCTCAGTAAAATTTAACCACCTGCCACTCATGGTATTGACGCCATCGAAAATTATACCGGCTCGGCCGTTGCCCGGGTTACCAAGGGCCGCGCAGGCGGCTGAGGACTCAAACAGACTGCGAATAGTCGTCAATCAGAACCTGCTCATCGCCCTCTGCCAGCCAGGGGGCGGGAGGTAGCAGCACAACAACGGCTGACCAAGACCGGCAGAACAACGACGAGTATACTAGTCACCAACGGAGTCGTTACCTGTTGCGAACAGAGCAGGCAGACAGCGCGACGCCATTATTAAACGTCAGAAATAGGTCCACGAGAACGACATCACCAGTGGGAACTTACAGTCGGAAATTGGAACATATCCTAACCCAGACAAAAAGAACATGAATTAGTTGATGAGGCCATCAAGTACCAACTCGACGTCGTTGGACCTTCGTCAAAAAGACGCCCAGGCTCTGGACTCCTGAACCTCCACTGATGGAAGCTCTTCTACTAAGGCGTCGATACCACGACTCGCGCTCAGACCGGTGTTGGCGTTCTGGTAGAACCCAACCTTGCCGATAGAATAATCGATTGG